TTCCTTAGCTCAGTGGCTAAGATGCTGAGCTTATCAAACAGAAAGATTGGCAGTTTGGCGGTTCGAATCCCTAATGCCACGTAACTGAGTGAGCGCCCAATACTTGTCCCAGCTTCTTCCAACCTAACAGTTTGAAAGCATGTAAAAATGCAAGTAGAAAAATAGGGACCACCTTGCTGGCAAGGTAACAGCATTCTGTGCACCTTGGTATTTAGTCATGCCAGTCACATGACCACGGCGACGTCTCCAGACAGCACTGCCTCTTCAGCTTTGAAAAGGAGATGAGCACTGCCCTCTAGAGTCAGGAACGACTTGCACATATGTGCATGGGGAACCTTTATCTTTACCTTTAAAAGGCCAGCAGGATCAGGTCCAGCCTAATCTCTGGATGGAGAATGTTTCATAGGGCAGGTGCTACAGCAAAAAATATTTACCTTCTGAGCCCTGTCAGTCAACATTCCTCAGCCAACAGGACCCAGAGCCTGACATTCCTGCTGGAGCAGATAGGACAGGTATAACAAAATGAGGCAGTCTCTTAAGTTAAATTATGTGAAACCAGACCATGATCAGATTGCTATTCTGCACAAAGCTTAACTAGAAGCTAATATAGATTAGTTTAATGTAACTATTGTCTGATGTTCAAACCTGGACTACTAATTAGCTTAAGGCAAAGTAGTCCTCAAAAAATGATGCAGTATGTGGGAAGATTTCTATTGCTATTCTCTTTTCATATCTTACAGGTACATGGGAAATTTAAGTTGGAAAACCCAAGGGCTGAACGAAAAAGGAGATGTTCGGAGGGGCTTGTTCCTGTAGTGGCACTGAGTGTGATGTGCTGAATTAGCAAATAGTGGTCAACCCGTGTTTGCCAATCACCTAGGCTCATCCTAGAGAGGGCTTCTTTTGCAGATCTCACCATTCTCTCCGCCTGACCATTGGACCAGGGCATGTCTGATTCCCTGAGCTGCTAAGAAGGTCTCGAATTGCATGGCCGTGAATTGGGGCCCATTGTCTGAGACCAGGACGTCGGGCAGGCCATGCGTGGAGAAAAGGCTCCGTAGTACCTTGATGACCACTTCTGCCATAGTGGAGGCCATCAGGACTACCTCTAGCCATTTCGAGTAGGCGTCCACAACTACGAGGAAAGTCTGGCCATGAACTGGGCCAGCAAAATCAATGTGCACCCTAGACCACGGTGCTTGAGGTCACTCCCACTCTGTAGCGGGCACTCTGGGGGGCTGGTCAATTTCCAGATCTATTTTGGGGCGAAGAGCAAAAGGTACTCTCCTGGGCTTTAGCCTTATGGGGGCTATGTTGGTGTTCAAATTAAAGGAGATTGGAATCCCCACATACTTACACAGACTGGTGCCGAAGATGTCCTCGAACTCCTTAAAAATCGCTTCAGTGCTTTTGTCTTTCAAGGTGTTGATACCGGTCACTTCTAGGCCCAGGGCTTCGAACCAGTCAAGCCCCAGGAGGCTCTGCTGGTCACCGCTGACCACTGTCACTGGGAGTTGGTTGCCGTACTTCTTGAATTGCACCCGGAAAGTGCCCTGGCCCATGATGGGGACTCGGTTCATCTGGTAATTGTGAAGGCGGATGTCAGGGGCACATAGATGCTGCTTCTTCAGGCTAGGGATAGCTCACTTGAGCGTAGATGACAGCATGATGGTCAGTGATGACCCTATGTCGATCTCCATCTCGCATGGAGAGCCCTCGATAAGGACTGTGACCTTCCACTTTTTTAGCCACCTAGTGCGGACTTAGCCAATTGAGGTATGGTAGGTGACTCTGGCGTCGCTCTCTGAGCGCTGTGGTGGCTTCTGTCATGCCCCTTGGTTGGGCCTCTGCTGGTGGTTAGCTCGGCTTCTTGGCTTTCAGGTTGTTGTGGGGTGCTCGCTTCTGCACACCTTGGCGATGTGTCCTTTCTGCTCGCAGCGCTGGCAGGTAGCGTCACGGAAATGGCAAGCTGATTGGACATGGTCTCCTCCACAGTTAGCGCAAGACAGAAATCATTGTTTGAATTTGCGCACTGGCTTGGTGCGGCTACTGCGCATGCGGCAGCGAACGCATGTGTTCTTTCACATGTCTTGTGGAGTGCTTTGGCGCTGCAGGGTTTCTGTTGACCTGACAGCCAATTCAGATGCCCTGGCTTCATCCAAGGCAATTTGTAGAGTGAGGTTAGAGTTGGTGAGTAACTTCCTCTGTAAATTAATGTCCCACACGCCGTATATGGTGCGGTCAAGAATAAGCTGATCAAGAATAAGCTCGGTCAAGAATAAGCTTCATCAAGGTCTCAGGACTCACAGTACGCTGCGGCCTTTCGGAGCGCCGCAACATACTCGTTGATTGATTCGCCCTTCTTCTGGTTGCAAATATGGATACAAAACATAGGGACAAGAAAATTAGGAGCCGGAATAGTTCCTTTGGGTTTGACAGAATTATATAAAGTGGGAAAGTTAACCTGGCTCCTATGATATTCTCTGGGTCAGAATTCTCATCTCATTTCAGTCAAAATACTTTCTAATATACACATTTATGGTTAGTGTACATACAATCCAATTATTGCTAGGAAAAAAATAAATATCAAATTCTGAGATGCCATTCCTATAAACAAAATATTTCACGAACAATATGCTTCAACTACTGAAATGTTATAAATTGCATCTAATTCTAACTTGTTTTAGAAATTTTTCTACCACTAATCTATCTTCTCCCCTGACCATTAATCTAATTGAATGTGTTTAATGGATGTGTTTAATATACATTAATTTCATTTGGTGTATATAGGAATTTATAATATGGCACTATGGCACTGACTTCCAAGAATAATTTTCTAATCATTTTTTTTTGGAATGCAAATTGTTTTCAGTAGATGCTGATACATAATAGAAGGTTTCTTCATTTTTACATAGTCTCTAGAGTGAATCTATTCCTTTTATGCCCTGGATTGATGATCTGGCCTACAATGGATTCTTCTAACAGAATTGTGTTTTGCTGAATATCTTAGCTGATGTGAAGCTGTAAAAGGGGGAGGAAATACACAGAGAGGCCAACAGGAGCTCCAGTTGTCAGGTTTCCAAGTGATGAAACCCATTCAAAAAGAAATGTTCAAAGTCCATCTTCGTAAATAAATTTCTTTTATTTAGGTATTCCCTTTACAGAGTAAAGAGAAAGAAAAGGAATAAATAAGTACTAATAATAGAGAGCTAAATAAAACGGCTACACATATGTCAAATTCAGGATCGACATCAGTACGCTTACAGATAACGTAGAATCAGAGAACTATTGAGATTGTTAGGAAGAAGTGATCCTAAAAAAGAGGCTGCAAATGTAGATTAATAGCTTTCATTTCTACAGCTGCTTATTAGAATATCTGTCTGTCAACAGAAGAAACCTCAATCAGCTGCAATTTAAAGAAAACAAAAATAAGAAAATAAAAGTATCATTTTACAATCTGATATTCTCCTCACGTGTTGGTCTTTAACCCAAATGGGGCCACTATAGCCAAAGATCCACCATCAGCAGGCCATGTGTTGGATTGCAGCCTTACATGGTGTTCTTTGGAATACTTTTAAGCTCTGCTCAGTTCTTTAAAAAAATTCCTTTCACATCCTACAGTTAGGGGCCAAGGGGAAAATGTAAACCAATTAATTTGCAACAGATTGTGCAAAAATTGATTCGGACAAGGACCGAGCAACTCTTTTTGCATAAATGTTGATCTCTGCATTTTTCACCGTAGCTCACGACAATTTCAAATTTTGCAGACCAGGAGAACTAAACCTCTGAAAAAATAAGTAAGTAAAATTTCAAAGTGTTGTTTAATATAAACAAGGCAAGTTCTAGTCTGTAGAACTCTGAAGGGCAGACATGTAACTTTAGCTTGCAAACACAGAACATTTACCAAATCTTGGAATGCTGCCAAATGCAATACTAAAGCAAGACCAGCACACTTAAAAACAAATTACGTAAGAAAAAAAATTCTGATGAATAAAATCTTTTACTGGAAATTGCCAAATAAATTTAGAAGGTTTATCTTTAGTAACTCTTGATTACCATGTTATTGCATTTAATTGCTAAGAAGCAATTAAAAACACAGTCTGTATATGAAGAGAGCAACCACTTTTTACTTCTTTACTGAAAACATTTCTAAGGGATGAATAACACAATCATATAAATACTTTCTGAGAAATGCAATTTCTTTGCTTCTAGGAATTGTATTTTTGTGTAATGTTTCAACCCATTCAGGCCAGATGCAGCTTTTCCCCACTACTTCCTCAGTTATGAATAGATTGTTGCTTTGCATTTTTCATAGGTATACACATTCAATATCATGACTGCATACTAAAAAATTGTCCTATAATTACTGATCACCAAAGAAAGAAAGTTTACAGGCCCCATTAACAGTAGCATATAGAAACTATAGTGAACTGAATTGGCAGCTGAAGTTTACTGATAAGACATGTGTCTGTCACCACCATTCTTGAGAACTGGGGTTCACATCACACATAGGCATGAAATGCTCTTACTTTCGCTACCGGTTTGGAACTGGGAGCACTCACGTGCGGTGCTTCTGCACATGCACAGACCATCTGTGATGATGTCTGGGCAGGTGGGCAGAGCCTCCCGCCACCGCTACCAGTTCGCCTGAACTGGGGCAAACTGGCAAAATACCACCTCTAATCACACAACATACTATAGTATAACCAAACCATAGTTTGGTGTAGTTTGCCCACAAGAGACATTTTGTTTTCCAGCTTTATTGGATATTTTTCTCAACAACCAATAAGGAGAGTTTCCCATTCTCTCTTTTTCCGAAATAACAGCCTGCAATGAGATTGATGCCTAACCAAATTCTGTCTAAAATTCTCTTATGAAAAAGAAATTGATCCTTACAAAAAAGAAGAATACACACACTGGGTGAAGATGATTCTATTAGCACTGTCTTTATAACTGTCAAGCCCAGCTCCTCCAAACATTCCTCGCTCCTGACTCATTATAGTTTGAACAGTTAACAAATAAAAGCAAAAAAAGATTCTAGGGAAAACTTGGATCAGCTCTGAAGATACTAACTTTCCAGTTTTCAGAGGTAAAACAAGCAGTTTTTTCGAATAGAAGTGATGTATTTTTACTATCTGGCAAGGATGAAGATGCGGGAATGAAGGAAGGTAGGTTGCAATTCTAAAGTATGTTTCCTAGAACTTTTAAAATAAGTTCAGAAGAAATCTCAAGTAAATTCACATCAGACTGAATTGATAGCATTGCATCTTGTCATTGAGGCAAGCATTGGAGACTTTCTTGCAAAGAATGTGAATACATTTCCATATATAATAGCAAAAGCTTTTTTTGCCCATCACTGGGTGAACACTAATCTATTATGCGGCCTTCAGGCACATAATTTGACTTGAAGGCTATATAATTGAGAAGAGGCAAGTCTCCTATAAAAACAACCCACCAAGATCCTTGCCTGTCACTACTACAACTGACAAGAAGCTGCTTACGATATGCTTTCACTGTATATGTTGGAATTGCCCCGACTTGGGGATTACCCAATCTTTTTCAATTAGATAATTAAATGTAAAGTTATTTGATATTGCTGGATTAAAATGATACTGTTGATATAATATAAGCATGATCTTGACACAAACTGTAAAATGTGCATAGCAATTAAATTGTTCCATCTATATCAGATTAATTATATCTAAAATTAAAAGTGACAACAAGCCTTTTGAAATATTATTTGCATCTTGTTTCAGAATGATAAATATTAAAATTGTATCCATATTTATATACCCTTCAGCATGGTTTTGTTTTTTAGTTTGATGTGGCTATTTTCCATACATACAGTATTTGTTTTTTTAATTAAAAATGACTCATCAGAAAAAGAGAAATGGTTGCTGTTGTTACTATTACACTATGCAATTTTCTTCTACCATTCTCTGGCTTTGCACATTCTTGGATGCGTTTCAAAAAGATTTTGAAAATTGATTTATTCAATGTAGCAGACTAATTGGTGGAAGGGTGGTGAGCAGATAATCGCCATGACAGGAAAACTGTTTTTCTCTAAATTCTATTAGTAAAGTTAGAGGGTTGATAGGTTTATGTTGAATATTGTATTGTATATTTTCACTGTAACTATAAATATATTATGATTTACTTTGCTTGTGTTCCTTTTATGCAATTTTAACTGCAATTTAATTCTAAGTCAGAAGGAATCTATTAACAACTTTTCTAGCTATGGGATTTCGAATATTCATTCCCCTTTCCTGTTTTATTTAGCATCTTCAAAAATCTGATGGGTGATATATCATCAGATGATTCCTGCTATAGAGTTCTACCATGAACCAAATGGGAGATATATCAGTAGTAGGAGTCATGAGTGTAGGATGGGGAGGAACCAGGGGTAGGATTCTACTGGTTCAGCCCAGTTCGGGCAAGCCGGTAGCTCTAAAGATCAGCTGGGAGCAAACTGGTTCACTCTGACCTTCAGGTGGGCCTGCCCCAGAGTTATACCTACCTATATCCCCTTGTTTTTTAGCCCAGCTGATAGGCAGGACAGAGCAGATTGCTGCACCTCAGCTGTTTTCCAGTGCACTACCCACGCTCACGTCAGGCAAGTCAGGCACGTCAGGTGTGCATGTGAGCAAAGCACACACTCAGCGAACCGATTGTTAAACCAGCAGGATCCCACCCATGGGGTGAACAGTTTCAGACTAAAGCCAAGCAAAATGAAATAGTGGCTAATCCAGAAACCAACTGATTCCAGGACTGTATCAACATTAACCATTGGGGGTTGTGGTTCCTCTGAAAGAGTAGGGTCACAATGTAGGTGCAAGTAGAGGCTCTAGCCAGCAGGAATTTTGCCCCATTTTGGCTGATGTATCACTTGCAGTCTTTCCTGAAGTAGGAGGTACTGAGATCAGCTTCTCACACCCATATCACTTCTCAGCTAGATTACTGCATTTCATTCCCTGTATAGCTTCTCTTAAAGATCCTCTACAGACATCAAGTGTATGTCTACCAGTCAAGCATATTATTATCTGGTACCAGGAGCAATGAGTTTTTGGTGAAGTAGAGTCTCCCTATCCATTGCACACAAATAGCGTGCCTGCTATGGATTCCCAACAATAGGAGTCTCAAAACAGGCCTTCTCAGCATGGGCTCCTTATCTCTACACCATCCTGTGTCAGAAATAAAACTGTCTCCTTTCCCAATGATATTCCAAAGGCTAATTGAACCCTGCTTATTCTGGAAGGCGTGGGAAGAGCACACTATTTAGAGAAAGCAGGGCCATGAGTGAGTGTTGATGAAGGATATTATTATATTATCTTTACTATTTTTGTACTATTAAGTTTGTATTTTATATTGTTGATTTTATCAAACATATCACTGTGAACTGCTTAGATATAAACTAGATGTTCCTATTGCCATGCAAATGTTTCCATTTGTCATAGCGGCCATTGTTTCCTCATCAGGAAAATAGTGTATGAATCACTTAATAAAAAGTACCTGGGTAGAGCAGTGGTGGGTTGCTAACTGGTTTGCTAACTGTTTGCTCATGCTCATGCACACAGGTGGGTGGGCAGACCCTCCCACCACCACCATTACTGGTTCGGCAAAACCAGGTCGAACCGGGAGCAACCCACCTCTGGGGTAGAGTCATCTGTAGATATTTTTATATATTTCCAGATCAGTTTTATGTGGCACTCAATAACTCTTAGAAATGGCAATTTGAACACTTCACAACTTTAACACCTATTTCTGAGTTGCAATCTGACATAGCATGTATTATAATAGTAGCATTTTAATAGCATAATAGCAGTATAATAAATATGGTTAAAATAAGTTCCATTGTAGCTATATGGGAGAAAGTGCTAAGAGCTGGAAGCTTAGTATTTGATGTTATATATACTATATAACAAATTCCCACTATATTTGATATTATGTAAGATTATTTAGCTTTTTTTGCAACTGATATTTTCTTTTGCAAATATCAATGCATAACAAAATACCACCAACCCTAGTTAATACATGATGAGCTGTAGCTGTGTTTTTCAGATTAATCTGGCAACTTAATGAGGCACTGTAGGCTGTTTGTTGTTTTGTTTATCTAATTATAGACCTTGATACCATTTGGTTTATTGTTTTGCTATCACTTATAATAATGAAACTCATTAGGAAATAAATAAATCATTATTTAGCCAGCACAATTTAAATGTGTGTTCTAATGTCTTTAGCTTGAACATCAGAACTTCCCCAAATAGCTATGTGCCTTTAATTTATCCACAGTGAAAATTTTATTGGATTGCAACTGAGAGAATATTTTGGGATCTGAGAAAACATACATAGAGATGCATAATAATCTTCTCAAGCAGATAAACCATTATCATATTAACTTTGTAAGATCAATTGATTGGACAATCTGAGGAGCCATTTCTCCCCGATGGGACTAGCCTACCCCAACTTGCATCAGCGGAAGAGACCTGCTACAGATCCCATTGGGCAGATTCAAAGAAAAGAGCCTTTCCTGCTGTGACCACTCTACCACTGAAGGTGAGAACTGCCCCTGCACTTTTGGCCTTCTGGAAGGGTACTAAAATTCAGATTTGTCAGTTGGCCTGGGGCCCCAAGGAGGGGGTGATCACTACTGGAGGTGGAAGATGGGGTAAGACAACCTCATGCGCCCCGGGAAACTGTTCTTTCTGTTTCTGGTGCTCTCGCATGTGTGCACCGGGGAGCTGGTCTTGCAGTTTCTGGCACTTTGTGCTGGAAAAGTTCACCAACACTGCTCTATACTATGTAAATCATGATTCATGTTTATGTAGCATAATGTGGGAGCCCAACCAATTGTGATTTACTCACCAGTGAGTTATTCAAGGTATACAGTCCAAGTCTTCAAAGACCAAATCAGTTAATAAATATATAGTTTACACTTCAGTTGATAAATAAGTCATAAAATGCTATCTTATCTATCACAGGTAGATCCCAATACCCTTTAGGGCTGTAGCATTAATTTTTTTAAAAAAAAATATTAACTATAATTTCTTTTTCCAGGGTGATACCTGGTTAAGAAACATTTTTAACCTTAAATTTGTCTTAAGATATGCTTTTTTTTTCTATCGCCTGAAAATTGGCTAGAACTTTGAAGTAATCTGATTTCTATCACTATATATCTCCACCCTATCAAGACAATGAAGAGCCAATGAGAAAACAAACAACCAATCCCTAATGGCTCCTACACAGTGCCAAGTGCTAAGAAGTTACGCTTGCATTTCAGCTGACAAACAATGCTGGTTTTCTTTGCAGTTTCATCAAAATGGAAAAGTGGAGTTTATTTTACTTACTACTTCTACACATTACAATCATATACCCCCTCGACTCGGTAAGTTTTACTCTTTGCAAGAATATATGTATGTTTTTTAAAAGGGAGGAGCAAAGTGAAAAAGCAACGCATAAATTGTATTCACAAAGGGGATGTAGTGATCCAGAAATGAGCTGGATAGAACAGATTCTGCTAAATAATTAAAACCGTGTTTGATTTTTAAAAGCAACTGGCACTGGGAAGGGGACAAAACCTGAATTTGCAGGTTTTATCTGACGATAGCATCCCTTTGAGCCTCAAAGATTGGGCAATTTCAAAGTTTTATTATATTTTTGTAACTTTGATGAAATGCTTAGAGGTAAAGTGGAACTTTAAGTTTGCCTCTCTAGTTCTTGTTAGCTTTTTCACAAATAGGACCTTAACAAAAAAATGGTTCAGTTTAACTTCTTCCTTCATCTCTTGCTCATGCCAGCAGAGGGCAGGTGCTCCCTGGTAGTTATGAACATTCTTACTTTCCTTTCTCATTTTGTTCTCATTCTCCCTTTGTGTCAGATGTAAGTCTTGGTGTTATATGTTTCTAAACTAGCTCTGTTTCCTATCCCAATCTAATTACTTTCACTCCATTACTTCTCCTGTGCCTACATTGCCTGACTTTTAAGTTTGGGGCTAGTTAAACCATAACCATCATCAGCATAACTCAACAAGATTTTTTTCCTATCCCTACCCAAAAGCAAAAGGTTTACCTATTTCTCAGATGTAACAAGTCCTATTTCTTATGTTCTGCATACTAGCTATTAATCATTCAACTTTAATTTTTCCCATCTTGCTTACAAATCACTAGATTGCATCAATGTAAATTAGCTATAGTATATAAAGATGTCATTTATTGGAGCATTCTAGTGTCAAAAGGGGAATTACCAACAAAATCATTTGTTACATGTGGTTTATAATATTTTTCCATTGTTTTTGTAATAAGAACTTACAAAAACAATGAAAATATTATAAACCATATGTAACAAATGATTTTGTTGGTAACTCCCTTTTTGACACTACATCAATAGTAGAAAAATCTTAAGTTTGGTTGCTAATAATTATTCAGCTATAATGTTCAAGAACATGCTGACTGTGTGTTCCTTTACTATGTTAGTAAAAGCTTACCTCAAGTAATCATCAAAAGGAACTTTGTCCTTAAATAGTATAATTAGATTTTACTATTATTATCTTGGTGGTCAATGAACATAGGGTTAGAATTAAAATGTAAGAGGTGTGGATATGGTTTGAGACATAAAGAAATATCTTTGTTATTGTTTGTAATTGGATGCTGAATTCAAAATTCTTCATTCCAAATTATCAGCATTTGTATTTGCCTTATGGAGCTCATGTAAGAAAAAAAGAAACTTTTTGTAAAATATTGTATCTACTTGGATGTAATTTTTAGCTTGTAATTGGCCATATAAGTTATAAAAGCATGTGTGTGTTTATCAGTCATAGCAGCTGGGAGAAACATGCAGTTACATGCCTGAAAACCAAAGAGTTTGACAACAGCTGTTTAATATCTTGCTTTGAATTCAGATTTTTTTTAAAAAAATGTACTTAGTAAAGCAGGCTGACTCAGTTACAATCTGTTTCCAATTAGTGATTTAGCCACAACCTAAATAACATCCCACCCAATGTTTTTGTTTTGCATTTTAAAGGATGTTAAGGGACTATCCTCAATCACTTTAAAATTTAGAATTCTGTAGTGTTCCAGGTAAGTGGCCTTAATTCCACTTACTTGTGAAATATTATTATACAGTAGAACAAAAAAAATGGATTTTTTGTCCTAAATTTTTGATGCATAGAATTTGCAGCAGATTTCTGTTATGGCATTTGTAAACGTGCAGAAAATGTCTTTTTCCAGATGAAGCAAATGTAGCATTCTCAACTCAAGTCTGGTGTTGCCCTTAAGTGACTTGTTTAAAGATCAACAAAGGGACGAGAAGGAAGCTGGTGATTATTTGTGATGTAATTTATTCAGATAGGTATTTCATCCACTCCCTTTTTTATGCTTGGAAGCTTTGGGATTTGGTAAATTGTTCAGGAAAAGTCCCAAAACTTCATTTAGAATTTTTATGTCAATAGTAAAAGCCCTAGTATATAAGAATATAAATGCAGAACTTCCACTTCAGATATGCTACCAATGATAGACAGCTAAAACTTTTTTTTTTCTTTAGGGGAGAAGGAAATGATTCTTTCTTGCTTCCTTCCTTCCATCCTTCCATCCATCCATCCATCCATCCATCCATCCATCAATCCATTCATCCATCCATCCATCCTAAAACTGAAAGAATGGGATGAGAAACTCAGGAATGTGATTTTATTTAGGTTTATTGCCAAATATGCATTTTAATGCAAATTGAAAACTGACTTAACAGGGAAACATGATAAATTGTACTTTCTCATTTGTCTCTAACAACTTATTTCCACGAAGTATATCAAACTATTTCACCAGTTCCTGTATCACAAGTGGGCAAGGAGAAAAGTATCTGAGGAGAGACTGTGGAGAGAAGGGAATATTATAACTCTGATGTAAAATCTGGATATTCCACCTCTTGTTTCAGGTGGAAATTACTTGCAGTTAAAAATTACTTTTCACCATTATCTTTTCAACGTTCCATTGCATTCTAACAAAAAGATTGTTTTTAATGTGTTAAGAAGTTCATATTTAAGAAAGAAAGGTAAAAATGCTCCTGCTTCCTTGTATATTTTACAATTGGACAGTCAATACAGTGAGCATCTGTGTTTTTAAAAATTCCAGGATAGATGGGATATGGTCTATCCCAAAGATAGCCCATGATCAGCTAGCAACTACTGAGGGGTGGCAAGCTGTGGAATTCTGGCAGTTGAGATTCACAAGTTTTAAAAGTTGTTAAGATTGGACAATCCTGACCTAGAACAGCTAATAGATTAGTCTGTTTGTGGGTAATGTATATGTGTTGTTTTTGTGAGGTTACTATTATAATGCTGATAATGTGTAAAGAGCTTTAATTTGGTATTTTTATTGTTTATTTGTTTGGTAGCCATATAGGATTGTTTTATGTAATAGAGATTTTCAGATAAGTAACAGAACAATCCTCGATCATCCTCAGAATTAATTTTCTTCCAGTTTTGGCATTCTTCTTACAGTCTTGAAAATTGAAGAGATCCATTTGCTGTTTAATAATATTTCTTTTTGGCATGAAGCTCATGGGTTCCCCACCTTTCGTCAAATAGGAAAAAGTCAATTTCCTGTCATGCTTGTTTCATTAGACTAGGACTCCTTTCAAATAAGTATTTATTGACCTTCATTTTCAGAGGTTGCAGGCTTGCTTATTTTCTCAAAGCTGTTTCCATCTTTTTTTTCTAGTGACAAAAGTACATTAAGAGATGCAAGAATGACATTTTTGCCACAGGGTATTCCTCTTTCTGCATTTTCTCCTCCATCACAGAAAAACACGTTCCTTATGCTAACCCAGTAATACAGTTAGCCACAGGAAAACTGCCTTTTATACTGATTGTTAGAGCATTAGCAAAGCTTCTTTGGACTCTCATTGTGCCTCTCCCTCCAGGATGGCTGAGCAACCACACTCAACGTGTAGTCCGCAATGGAACTGCATCTACATGGAGGGAGGTATGTAGTGGAGTACCCCAAGGCTCTGTTTTAGGCCCAGTACTCTTCAACATCTTCATCAATGATCTGGATGAGAGGATAAATGGAGAATTCATCAAATTTGCAGATAACACCAAGATGGCAGGAATAGCCAACACTCCAGAAAATAGGCTAAAGATACAGAAGGACCTTGACATCAACTTCAACATTTGGCACTTTCTAACAAAATGAAATTCAATGGTGAAAAAAGTAAGGTTCTACATTTAGGCAAGAAAAATGAAATGCACAG